GCAGAGGAAAACAGAGGGGCTTCCCGACAGTCCGAACACGTCTGACCTAAAGAGCACAAGCAGCACATTTCTGGATATTTATGGTTTGATTTCTTTGTATGTATGGATCACTTGGGTTGTTACCGACATCTGGTGAAAATTTCATGTCATTAGCACCTCTAGTAATATATTTACTGAGAAAAATGGTGACGTGTTCAATACTTATTTTACCCGCTGTATATCGCAACTTTCAGCTTCTTCAGGACTTTACAGCTATGATGAGTGCTGGGTAAAAAAAAAATCAATTTCATTTGAAATTTGCAATATCCATTCATGGGGCATGAGATTGATTTTTCTCCATAACGCTAACCTCAGCAGAGGCACATAAGTTTAAGTCCTGTTGACGTTCAGTGCTAACGTTAGCGTCTAACAAGTTATCTGGGGCAAAACAAAAACAAAAACAAAAAAACTAAGCCATCACTACCATTACCAGCCAAACTTAAAGATAGCCAAGGCCATGGCAACTCCTGTTTGCTGAGTTTTATGCCTGTACTCTGTGGAAAACAAACTATTCAAGCGGCTCATTCAGGTGATCGAACCAAACTACGATGGGTAAACATCTGACTGAATTGTTTAGTTTTGTTACTGGTGTTATTATTTTTACTTTTAAACGTCTTAATGAAATTTGCATTGATGGGATGTTGTGGTTTAAGTACACTTTCACACTTTTGAAACTTGAGACAGTTTTGTTTGCGGTCCAAGTTTAAACCGTCCAATTCACAAGTGTGCTCGTAAAATCTGTATTTTTATATTGAAGAGAAAAAATTAATTTGTATTTCGCAGCACAGTTGAACTATTTTCATCATTTAAGAGCAGATCAAGTCAAATTACATCGAATCGTGATTAATCGATTCTGAACCTTTCGAATCCGTTTAGGGAATTGGCCACATTATCCAGCTCTCGTCATGACTTTTGGTTTTTCAACAATGTGTAATTACTGAAATATTTAGCTCTTTTAGTCATTTTTCCCCCTCATTGAAAATGAATATAGTCGTCTTCAACGTCCTTAAAACCCTTTAAAAATGTTCATTAATCTTTACTGTACTTTTGACCTTTTGTTTAACTTCGGATTTCTTCCTTTTGTTCAAATTTCAGATTCCATCAGCTTCTATTTTGTTGATTTTTCCTTTTTATCTTTTTTTGTTTGTTTATAATTCAGACTTTTCCTACTAATTTAAGCTTTTTACACTTTTTAGCTGCTTTCTGCTAATTTAAGCTGTTTTTTCTGTTTTTTAGTGCTAATTTCAGCTATTTCAGCTGCCTTTTTAAAAAGCTAATTTTGGGCTGAGTTTAGCTTTTTTAAAGATATTTCAAAAACAAATTCAAAGTATTTTCTTGCTTTTTGATCCTTTTTATTTTCTTGGTTGTTAATTTGAACTTGTTTCATCTACCTTTAGCTTATTTTTGCTAATTTTAGCTAATTTTTTAGTCTCTACAGATTTCTTTTAACCTTTCTTGCTATTTTTCAACTGAGTTTTTTCCACTTTTGTTTTCCTACTTTGAGCAAAAGTCAGCTGTTCAAATTTAACTTGCATTAACACTTTTATTAAACCTTTTTTTAGCTTCTTCAGTAGCTTTCAGCAAAAATCTTTCAGCATTTGGAATTCACACTGCCTTTTTTTTTTTTTTTACAGGAAATGTAATTTCTCTAGTTCCATCCATCCATCCATCCATCCATCCATCCATCCATCCATCCATCCATCCATCCATCCATCCATCCATCCATCCATCCATCCATCCATCCATCCATTTTCTTCTGCCTATCCGGGGTCGGGTCGCGGGGGCAGCAGCTTCAGAAGGGAGGCCCAGACCTCCCTCTCCCCAGCCACTTCTTCCAGCTCCTCTGGGGAAACCTAAAGGCGTTCCCAGGCGAGAGACATAGTCCCTCCAGCGTGTCCTGGGTCTTCCTCGGGGCCTCCTCCCGGTGGGACGTGCCCGGAATACCTCACCAGGGAGGCGTCCAGGAGGCATCCTTACCAGATGCCCGAGCCACCTCAACTGGCTCCTCTCGACGTGGAGGAGCAGCGGCTCTACTCTGAGTCCCTCCCGGATGACRGAGCTTCTCACCCTATCTCTAAGGGAGAGCCCAGCAACCCTGCGGAGGAAACCCATTTCGGCCGCTCGTATCCGGGACCTCGTTCTTTCGGTCATGACCCAAAGCTCATGACCATAGATGAGGGTAGGAACGTAGATCGACCGGTAAATCGAGAGCTTCGCTTTCTGACTCAGCTCTCTCTTCACCACGACGGACCGGTACAGCGCCCGCTTTACAGCAGACGCTGCGCCAATCCGCCTGTCGATCTCCCGCTCCGTTCTTCCCCCATTCGTGAACAAGATCCCCAGATACTTAAACTCCTCCACTTGAGGCAGGACGACCCCCCTGACCCGGAGAAGGCACTCTACCCTTTTCCGGCTCAAGACCATGGCCTCGGATTTGGAGGCACTGAGCCTCATCCCGGCCGCTTCGCACTCGGCCGCGAACCGCTCCAGCGAGAGCTGCAGATCTCGTTCCGATGAAGCCAACAGGACCACATCATCCGCAAAAAGCAGAGATGCGATCCTAAGGCCACCAAAACGGATCCCCTCAACACCTCGGCTGCGCCTAGAAATTCTGTCCATGAAAGTAATGAACAGAATCGGTGACAAAGGGCAGCCTTGGCGGAGTCCAACTCTCACCGGAAACGAGCCCGACTTACTGCCGGCAATGTGGACCAGACTCTGACACCGGTCGTACAAGGACCTGACAGCCCGTATCAAAGGGCCCGGTACCCCATACTCCCGGAGAACCCCCCACAAGGCCCCCCTTGGGACATGGTCGAACGCCTTCTCCAAGTCCACAAAACACATGTAGACCGGTTTCTCTAGTTATGTTGCTAAATACGAGTATTTTAGTCAAAAACGTCCAAGTCGTCAGCGAATATTAGATTTTTGTTTTCATTTTTTTATTTTTATTTTTGAAGTTCCATACTTCTCACAACTTGTGTTTGTTTCATCTTTTACTCATCCATCCCGGGACTTGTGGGGTTAAAGTGACTGAGCAGGAGCTGTTTTTCAGTTGATGGTTCAAAATAATCTGCTCAGCAGTCGTTATAGCCACCCTGGTTACAGAGACAGTGTCGTCTTTTAACGACGGATCCTGTCGCTCTGGTTGTTAATGCTGAGCACACGTCCTCTGATGCTCACGCCAAGCTGAGGGGAGGAAGGGTCTTTTTAAAAACATCACTCAGCAAGTATCCGCTTCCTCAGACCGGGTGAAAAAGGACAAAAAAAAAAGGCCTGATAAGAAATCTGATACGCCGCGTGATGACCTTTAATGTTCAATCATGCCCTGCCTCCCTGTTTCCAATTTTCTCTCCCAGATACCGTGGCCTTCTGAACCTGCTTTGATTCAGTGGAAGAAACTGATTAAACTAAAGTTCGTTTCTGCAAATTGATTTAGCCGTAACCCCGCCAAGTGGACTAATCAAAAAAAAAAAGGAGAGAAGTTAAAAGGGATTTTTATTGCGAGAACGTAATAGATAGTGTTGATACTGAGCGTTTTCACAAAAAGCCTCCTCGCCCGTGCGGCAGCCTTTAGGATTAAAGATGAGTCCGATGAGGATGCAGATAAGCGGACAAGGTCACTTTCTGCTTTTATTAGAATCGGTTACAGCATCAGTCAGGAAAAACAAACGAAACAAACGTTTGAACTCTGCCAAACACGTCGACYTTTCACTCTGATAGTTCATTTTGATGACGCACAGAATTCGTGAGGTACAGAGAAAGGCCAGTGTTTCAGTAAGTTTAGCTCGGTATACTTCCACTATACACAACGATTGCATCATCAGGTAMAACTTAGAGCTTAAAGTGCGTCATGCATTTCCTACAAATACAAAAAGTCAAATAAAACATCTTTTAATTCAAGAAAATTCACACAATAGACATGATTTCCCTTTTCGTCTCATAACTGGCATATTTTCCTTTGAACTCGGCTCAGCAAAAGTGAAACAGGAAGTGACATCAAAGGGGAACTCAAGAAAGAAAATCCTGTTTTTTGTTTGCTGAAATATTATTTGACCTCTGACTCTTCATCTCTCTGACAGTGACTCTGATCTAAAAAATATATTCATAGTCTAATATAGTCTGTTGTTAGCTGTTGTAGCAATGCTCTATTTACATGCAGACATTCCCCTTTGACATCACTTCCTGTTACTTCATATGCAAAAATCTCAACTGTTCATCTCAGTGGTGTCAATATTTTTTTACAATATGTTATTAATGTTATATTTTTAAAAACGCATTCATATTTATTACAAAATTTGATGTTGCAGGCACCTTGAAGTAAAGGTGGTCGCGGAGATAAATTTAATGCAAATTTACAACTTTTTGCAGAAACTAAGATTATCTTCTTCGGCTTGGACCGTTGCAGAATTTTAATTTAAAACACGTCCTTTAAGAGAAAAAATAAAACAAATAAATCAACCTGAATGTGTGAAAAAAGTCAAACGAACTCGTCTCACCGTTCAGCCTCCAGGCGCATCTCCTCCCGCTTCTGCCTCCTCAGCTCCCGGCGCCGCTCAAAGTCCAAATCGTCCATGATTGAGACCTGCAGAGTCGACGGCAAACAGAAGTTAACTGACTCGGTTCCTCTAAAGACAGAAAACACATTTTTATGACGTTTCAACCCCATTTCCWCAACAACGTTAGGGCTGGGCGATACTGATAATTATTGATTAGTTTCCTCTTTTATCCACAATTTCCTCTCGAGCTGCTGCACTCATTTCCTCCCTTCAKTCCACGTCGTCTTTATTTTTAGTTTTCAGCAGTTATCAGGCATAGTGGTGAAACATGAGACTGCTACTAAGCATGTTTGACAGGTTGTTGTTGTTAGCTTAKCAAAGAGTGAGTGAGTTGACCTTGCTTAGCTGGGCTGTGAGCTGGAATGGCCTACATCTCCCAGAATGCAGAGCGGTTCTGAATCAGAGTTCAGTGATATTATCTACATTCTATCAAATGTTTTTTTTATTGACATTGATCACGTGTCTATCGTGATACATATTATTTTATCAATCTAATCAACGACAACTTTTTGCTGGAGTTGTGTGAGCGCTGTGAAACAAATGAGATAATATTTCTTCCGTACGTTTTTTTTTTGCAAACATCTTGTTTCGCATTTTTTGTGATATTTTAAAATTCATATAACAAAACGTTCAGCTCCTTAAGGACATACTGGCTATGACTTCTAGTATTTCAGCTATTTATACCTTTTTAGCTATTTCACATTTTTGGCTACTTTTCCCCCCACTGAAAATGAATGGAGCCGTTTTCAACTTCTTTAAAACCCTTCAGAATGTTTCTAAATCTTTGCAGCACCTTTCACCTTTTGTCCTGGTTCTGCTCTTTTTAACTTCCTTGTGCTAATTTTAGCTTCTTTTTTTTTACTGATTTTAGCTTTGTTCTGCTATTTCAGCAATAATTCTGGTTCTTTCTACTTTTCTTTTGCTAATTTCTGCTTTTCTGTGCTTCTTGCAGTTGCATTCTACTATATACAGCTATTTTCTGCAATTATAGCCAATGTTCAGCTGTTATTAGCTAAAGTTAGCTTTTTTGAGCTAAATTCACATTTTGGTGGCTATTTCAGCATTTCTATGCTTAGTTCAGCAAACTTGTGCTCTTTATGCTTCTTTATGCCAATTTAAAAATTTTCAGCTACATTTTTGCTGTTTTACTGCCCTTATGGGATGTTTAGGCAAACAAATTGTCATTTTTCTCTGCCAGTTTGACTTTATAAACACCCCTTTCACCATCTGGGTGCTATTTTCAACTGGTGTCTGCTACCTTTAGCTTGTTTTAATGCTAATTTTAGCTTGTTTTCTGTTCTTTTCAGCTATTCTTTTGCCAAGTTAATCCTTTTATACTTCTTTCTGGCCTGGACAGTTTTGCTATAAAACATTTTCAGCTCCATTTCAGCAGATTTCAGCTCAATTTTTCAGTAATACACTAGCATTTTCACAGTAATTTCTCTAGTTACTATTTTTGTTTTAAACTATTCAAAACTCMTAATATACTGTAAAATAACAGCCAATGCTCATATCGTCAGAGTTTAAAGTCTGCAATGTGATTAACTCCAGTATGCTCACTATTTCCAAAGTAAAAATGATCTAATCCTAAATCAAAGGTATTTATGAGTTATATTGTAAGATTTTTTTTGGTTGATTTGTTTTATATTTTTAACATAATTGTATACCTAGCTAAAGCAGTCAAATAAATACATTTATTCAACTGAAGTAGTTTAAAAAAGAAGGAAAATTGTAATTGTGAAAACACCTTTTATGCAAAATCCCATTTAAAGAGTAACTTACCCCAAAATTAACTTTTTTTAGCTGTTAAACTGTCTAGAATGTGTCTAAAATGTTATATAGTAC